GCGAAATCGGGAATAATTGCGACAACTCCTGACAGAGTCGCTCGACGTTTCTTGCGACGTTTTAATATTTTTGAATATTTTAACACTTTCGCTGGCAGCATCATTAGTGTATATCGTTATGTTGTTTGTATCGTTTAATGCGTATCGTTTTATAACAATGCCGAGACTGGTTTCTGCTTAACACGTTCCGTGCCAAGCCATTTTTGCCTAACTTGTCGTTCAGGCCATTTGATGTTTTGACTAAAGATTGATACATCATCACATAATATTTCATTATATCATCAGTAGATAAGTAGTGATTGCCCGAATCAACCGTTTTTATGCAGCTCTTGCTTTAAAAAAGTCAAACATTGTAATTAATAGTTATTGTGTATATAACGATTAAACAAATTTATGTGCTTTGTTCTATACAGCATTTTTTACAATGCCTCTCATCTTTTTGGTGGAAATATATTTTATACAATCAAATTTGTCACAAAATGTATGTCTTCAGCGCTTTAAATAAATATGTCCGCGTGTACCATTTATGGTACACGTGGCCTGATGGTCAAGTTTAACGTGTACCATTTATGGTACACGTGGCACGGAACGTGTTAATCTTCGCGTGATTTATATCGTAATACGCACTTCAATAAAGAAGCGTACTTAAAAATTTCTGCTGGTAATATTTTTATAATATCAAGTATTGTGAAAGAAACAAGTCAGAAACCTGTCATTTTGACTGGTTTAGTAGTTCTAGCGTTAAATACGGCGCGTTCTCTTATAAAGTATGTCAAAAGTGTCGTCGAAGAGAAGCTATAAATTCTCCAATTACAGTAATGTCTCCTTAATTCGCGCTCAGATTGGGCAAAAATGGATGCACAAAAATGGACAATTTGGGAAGTGGCGGCTCGTTTGTCAACAACCGCCGATTGTCAACAACTATAAAAACGAGACTTTTTATAACGAGACTCTTTCCAAATCGTCCATTCTGGCAATCTGAGCGCGAATTAGGGAGAAATAATTGTACCATGCCGTGTGTGTTACAATTTCAAAGAATTAAATTCGCAAAATTAATTTGACGTATCTTCTCTTCCCAAATCGTCCATTTTTGTGCGCAATCTGAGCGCGAATTAGGGAAAAATAACTGTATCATGCAGTATGTTACAATTTCAAAGAATTAAATTCGCTAAATTAATTTGACGTTTCTCGGCGGAAATCCGAAATCATGGTCGTCGCGCACGTGCGCCGCTGTTAAAGTGCCAAAAATCGCCGACTCGCATCTTGTTGTTTTGCATCGTAAGATTCATCCAGGAAATGCACATTTATGCCTTATAATTAAAATGCTCGCGCATATAAAACGAGTTGATTCGCTATTAGCCGTGAATATATTCTAAATCTAATGAGGAATCCGAGACGTCATGGCCGAGTTACCGTCTGGAAAAATAAAAACGGTTCCGTAGGTGGTGGACGCCGGACTAGAGCGATGTTGATGATGATGATGAAGAGACGGCGGAGAAGAAGCGAGATGAAGTCGGTGCCCGAGGTCGTAGAATCGCGCGGCCAGACGAGGATACATTAAACCTAATGGGCCTTCTTTCGCGTAATTGACGATACCGCGGGTGGCCTTGCGTTTCCCGCAGAGATGGGTTTTACGACTTCATTCGAGATACGAGCGTGGCCCTCGAGGAATTCATCATCGGCGAACACGGACGCGGACGAATGTTTTGGACAGTCGGCCGCGGACGAGTGCATAAAAGCTCGCGCAGCCTCCCGGTGTGCAGATAGTTGGGCCCGATAACTGAATTCCCAGTGTTCCTCTCGCGTTACAGTTAGCCGAGATCGACGAGTCCTTCGACGCCGCTCCAGGATGTTAAAGGATCACTGAATTAGAACCGAAAGGCTTTCGCAGCGCGACCGCTCTTCGTGGAAATCGTTTATCCGCGGTTAATGCAAATATTAACACGTTCCGTGCCACGTGTACCATCGATGGTACAAGCTTGCATGTTTACTTAGTGAACTGAACAAATTGTTTACAAGAAATTTAGAACCGAAGAATCAATTTCCACCGCAAGAATGGGCGTTGATAAGTTTTTGTTACGTTGTTATGTGTACGAGAATTAATAATTGCACGTAATACATCAAGTTTTATTAAAATATCAAAGTGTGAAGATTCGAGTAAAAAAAGCTCGGCACGGAACGTGTTAATTATATATTGTTATATTAATTATATGCTCGTGGATATATGTATATATATACAGGGTGCCCCAAAAATGTCTCGCAATCCGAAAGTGGCGGGTTTCTCAGGTCATTTGAAGCAACTTTTTCCTTTGCGAAAATTTTCTCCGAGGCACCGTTAACGAGTTACTAACGAAAAACAGTGACCAATAAGAATCGAGTACGGCTGATGCGAGGCGGCCCAGTCAACCAGGCTCAGTCGCCTCGCGCCAGCTGAGCTGGGATTCGACCGCTCGACCGCTGGCGCCGTTGGCTCGGCCATCTCGCGCCAAATGATCTCGCCTCTGATTGATCACTGTTTTTCGTTAATAACTCGTAAACGAAGCCGCGGATTGCATTTTCGCTAAGGAAAAAGTTGCTTCAAATGGCCTCAGGAATCCCCTACTTTCGGATTGAGAGACATTTTTGGGACACCCTGTATATATTTTTCACATTCTTGCGAGTATTCTAATCAAAATAAAATTCATCGTACAAGTCGCACTACTGCACAGCAATGAACAATCTTTTTATGTTTCGAGGGCGAAATTCATAAACTTTGAATTGCTGTAACTTCGCGAAGAAAAATCATACGACAGTCTACCTAGGCTCATTTCAAAGGGCTAAGTCTCTACTTTCATCTTATGAACTCGATTTTCTCAATGATTCCAGTTTCTGATATTCAGACAGCAATCAAGAAGTTGTCCTCTTTCCGTTAAAATGTTACAAGCTCTGCGAACGTTTAAATTCAAAAAATTCTGTGGAGTTTAAGAACATCTTTTTCGGATTCCATCCTATCCGATCTTACAAAAGAAGGTCTCCGCTTCACAATGACATCTGAAAAGTCGATCTACGACTTTTGCCTCGCGGTTTTCTCTTCACGATTGCCAAGGAAGTCCGAAATGAACTTCTCAGCCGCGTATTACACGGAATTCTACTCCAACGAAGATTTCCACTCTGAAAATTCGAACGATTCTTTCTCGCTGCACGTTGCACGAACGCTTCCATCGGAATCCTGCTCCGAAAACGGCAGGCCGCCTCTTTCTCGGAGCCGGAGAACGAAAGATCTCCGAAATCCTCGGCGGCGCGTACTCGAGCGAGTATCTGCGTTGCGCAACCGTCTCCATTGTTTACGCTCGGACGTTTTGCCGGCCGATGAACACAAAGCACGTATCCGCAATTCTAATCAGCGTGCGTGCATACCTCGCCCCGCTCGGGAACGCGTGCAGCGCGTGCAACGCGTGCACCGGACAGCGCGCGGCGAACAGCAGCGCGGAGAGGCGCACCGCTGGCTCCCCGGGCGAAAAGTTGTATCATCGGCCCGTACACCGACTGTGACTATCTGCAGCCCGCATCTTCCGCCGTCCATCTTCCACACTCCCGCCGGATTACGTCGGTTCGCGATGGAAACGGCTCCTTACTACGAAGAGCGCCTATACCGGGCCTCGCCTCGCTGGCTTACTTTCACTCGTCATCGGCGACCGGCTTTTCCGCCGCTTTCCGCCCACCGGATGCTCGATTTTCCGACCATTTCGACACCGGACTTCCACCTCTCTCTCTCTCTCTCTCCTCGATCCTCTCAGACGGATCCTTTCCTTCGCTGGATCCATCCCGAAAAGGCTCTCGAACGTTTCTGACGTCATCGATCTCTGCGTATCGACGCGCGACGCCAAAAGTAACACCGTTTCAGTCTTTTTACCAGAACTAACGCGTTTCAATTTTCTTACGAAAATTAACACGTTTCAGTTTTTTTTACCAAAAGTAACGCGTTTCAGTTTTCTTACGAAAAGTAACACGTTTCAGTTCCACGTTTCTTACGAAAAGCAGCAAAGTTTCAGTTTCTCTCTTGCATCATACATTAAATTTAATTGGTCCCTTCTTCTAACAGCAATCTTGTTAAATAGAAGGACCGACATCGGAAGACTAAAACGAAACAAGCCATTGGACTTTAACAGATTTATCGAAATAAACTGAAATCGATACACAATCTCTAGTAGTGTAATTATTAGACCGCGCATTTTATGCATTTGTAATAAAAATATGTAGGTGAAATTTCGAACGGTGAAGATATTAAAAGAATTTAAGGACATGTAAGTATTATTTTCAACTCGTCGTCGTTGCAACTGATGCAAAATGAAAACGATCCAAGTTAATTTTAAGAAATATAAATCGGATGAAAATGTTTTCTCTCTTTTCGCGATCGTAATTAGTTGAAAATAACGTAACAATATCCTTGAATTCGTTTAGCTTAGAATCCGTTTTTTATAGCTTTTTATTACAATTAAAATAAAAGGTAACATTTAGTACGACAATAATTGTATTAAACGTACGAAATATTATTAAATACGAAAAAAATAGTATTAAACGTATGAAATATTATTAAATACGACAAGAATAGTATTATACGTATGAAATATCATTAAATACGACAAGAATAGTATTAAACGTATGAAATATTATTAAATACGACAAAAATAGTATTAAATTTATGAAATATTATTAAATATGACAAAAATATTATTTAGTTGGATGTTATTCTATTAAATATGACAAAAATGTTATTTAGTTGGATGTTACTCTATTAAATATGACAAAAATGTTACAAAATTATTAAACATGGCAAAAATAACATTTTCCTCGTAAATGCATAAAATTCGCGGTCCAGCAATTGCGATAACCGGTGCGAACGACTGGATGAACACCTACGTGATATTATTACCCATCAATTAATCAATGTTGCTCGCAGGCAAATCGTAAATTTATATGGGAACATAAAATAGAGAAATAATCGAAACGTAATGTTTCAGACATCGAAGCCGAGTGCCAGGACGACTACATGAAGATCAGGATCGGCTTCAACGGCTCGTTCACCGGTCTGCTGTACTCGGCAGGTAAGAATTTTCCGGGCGAGGTCCAGGAGACCCGGGAAACGGCGACGTAGGATCGGCGAACGCGAGGAATCGATACCGATCGAACTATCACGTCTCGAACCCTGCGGGACCGTGCCGCATCGCGCCGACCTGGCATTCGCAATTGCCAATTATCCTCGCGAGCCTCACGGCCGGCCCGATCGATGCCGCGCGCGGTGACGAGCTAATGGCAGGAATTATCGTTGCGAGTCGTCGTTCGAATTTTCCTTTTTGCTTTCCGCCTTGTTTCTCGCCACGCGAGAACGGTCGGACGGCGTGCTTCCGTTATTTTGAAAGCCGGCCGAACAACGCGTCGCGTCCCCGCACGCGATCCGCCTCGAAATAGCGCGTCCTTGTTGACCACACCGTTGTGACCACGTTTTCCTCCGCGCGTGATTTAAAGCCGAGCCGACGATCCGCGTTCGCGCACGGCTCGACCTGCCCCACGGTTTTTCCATTCGAGCTTTAAGAGCGGCAACAAGAACAGCGCAATCTCGGTTTCATTAACGCCTGCCTATTCCTTTCTTGCGGACGGTTCCACGGTTTTCTCGCTGTCCTTGAAAAATTCTTCCGATCGGCTGATTTACCGTTCTTAGATGCGAGGCTGCGAACGATCTCGATCTCGTTCAGACACGCAGCGGTAGCCAATTACATACTGCGGCTTTAGTTTATTTTCAAGCATAATTAACTTCATATGTATCTAATAACATGTGTTAGGTTCGTTCTATTTTGGTTCAATTTCTCGTTTATTTTGTGAAATGAAAGAAAAGTAAGGGAGGGTTGTTTTTAACCCTTAGCACTCCGAAGGCTCCGCTACGGAGACATTTGTCATTTGTTCCGTAAATCCGAAGGCTCCACTGCGGAGCCAAATGTTTTTAGCATACGTTATCGTCGGCGTTAGCAATTGTTATCTGTAGTTAAAACGTGCTAAGTCTGTACCATTGCGATTAACACATTGAATGCCACGTGGGTCACCGGTGACCGGCACTTAACTTGGCGGTGACGCCATGGGGGCCACCGGTGACTGGCGCGCCCAAATTGATAGAAATATATATAATTTAAAACAAATGTCAATATCTAAAATTTTGTATTATTATCATCGTCAATTCATACAGTGACTCCTGTCGCAATTAACATGTCAAACATGGTTATACACTGTAACTTATCTATTGCAGATAATATTTCAACATTATATGTATCACATAAAAGAAAATTCATCGTGGCGCCACGGACAATTTCTGTAAAACCGGCGTGGCATTCAACGTGTTAAACCATTTTTTGACCTTTTCTATGGTTAGCAACATGGAGAAAAATAAATATTACGATGAGAATTTAGAGCCGAGCGATACCGAAGACGTATTTGATTTTGAAGAGTTAAAAGACATTGTGGAAGACAATGTTGGTTATGATTCTGACACTTCGAGTAGTAGTAGCGAAATTATACTACCAAAGAGACGAAGAATGAGAATTATTGAAAGTGAAAGCGAAGATTCGTTGCAAGACTTAGATGAATGGCGCGATGTTACGGAAGAATTACATATTCCAGATAGAATACCTTTTAGTGTATTGCCACAGGTCATTGGACCACAAGTTCCTACAAACATCGAACAGCCGATACAATATTTTACATTATTTTTCACGGACGAATTGGTAAATGAAATTATAAAGGAAACCAACGATTACGCAGAAAATGTTCTAAACTCGAAAGAAATATCTAGTAACTCTATTTGGCAAAGTGAATACTGTGACACTTGTCCAAGTAAACCCAGAATGCACATGGGAGATTCTTACCAAAGATATCGCACCATGGTGAATTACAAAATTTAAAATTTATCTTTTATTTACAATAGGAAAATGTATATTTATAAAATAAATAAAATCAAATGCATTCGCAAGGACGTGTAATCTTTTCCGCTGAAAATAAGACTTCCTTTATCTCAGATGCTTTGCTCCAAAAATGTGTCGGAGTTGCTGGCAGGTAGTACTCGAGAAACGTGTGGAGCGCTAAGGGTTAATACTTTTGTTAAATAATAAGTCCGACTTTTGAATATACGTGCAAGAAGGGAGCAAGGAATCTTTCGAAATTCTGCGACTCATAGGTCGATGAGTAAATAATGATTGGAGTTAGAGGAAAGGACGTGTACTCTTTTCCGCTGAAAATAAGACTTCCTTTATCTCAGGCGCTCCGCTCCAAAAATGTGCCGGAGTTGCTGGCAGGTAGTACTCGAGAAACGCGTGGAGCGCTAAGGGTTAATATACGATAAAAATGACTTCAATTTTTCATGCTGAATTCGCGAGATTTTCTGCAAAGCTTATGGAAAAGCTGAAGAAAATCCTGAACGAATGTCGTGGTTAATATAAAATAAATCGTTGTAAATCGTACTAAGCTATCGCAATGTTAATTCTATTGGTAAAACGTACGAAGATTGCGGCGAAACAAAATAGTGACTGTTTATTTGAATTTTTGTTTTTGCTTACAATTTATCATTACAGTTTATTTACTGTGCATCTCGATCTCGTTCAGACACGCAGCGGTAGCCAATTACATACTGTGGCTTTAGTTTATTTCCAAGCATAATTAACTTCATATTTATCGAATAAGATATATTTGGTTTGTTCTATTTCGGTTCGATTGCTCGTTTTTTTTGTAAAATAAAATAAAAGTAAGGGAGGGTTGTTTTTAACATACGATAAAAATTATTTCAACTTTTCATGCTGAATTCGCGAGATTTCCTGCAAAGCTTATGGGAAAGCTGAAGAAAATCCTGAACGAATGACGTGGTTAATATAAAATAAATCGTTCTAAATCGTTCTAAGCTATCGCAATGTTAATTCTATTGGTAAAACGTGCGAAGATTACGGAGAAACAAAATAGTGACTGTTTATTTGAATTTTTGTTTTTGCTTACAATTTCAGTAATTTATTTACTGCGAACCGAACCTATTTTTCTCTCGATGCGTTAATTATTGCGCCTGTTACCACAGAATAAGTCCTGCGTAACCTCGAAAAGCTTTGAGAACCGGTGCGAGAAGAGCGCGATCTTCGCTTAAAAATAGATCCGTTGGATTCGCGTATGCTACCGGAAAGGCCGCCGGGAATCATCAATTTCCGTAGATCGCGTGCAATCTTAAGATCGTTTGGAGTATTAGAGGACTAAGGACAAATCGATTCTAATTGCAGGCTACTCGTACGACCCGGACTGCATGTACGTTAACGGGACGGGCCGGGATTACTACGAGTTCTACATTCAGCTGAATCGTTGCGGCACCCTCGGCGAGAACACTCATCATCAGGACAGCAGAAAGAATCCGACAGTACGTAAAACAGAGTACAGTCTCTGGTTCGTTAGCAGCCCAGCGTGAGTGCCGCTGGGTCGTTTGACAAGGAGTAATAATGATTAACGTCCCCCTTGAAAAATCCCCGACTCCCCCAATCATCGTTCGGCTCTTATTTCCCGATCGTCCAACCCGGGGACGTTTAACGATCGGCCGTATTAATACACGCGACTCCTTCGCGTCGGCTCGCGTCATAAAGGAGAGGCCGCACGTTAATAATTCTGTTACGTTCTGCTTATACGATTTATTAAACGCGCGCTCGCGAACGTTCGGCTGATTTATCGCGGCGCGGCGCGCGCCGAGACGTGTTTGTTTGCCGTGAAACGCGATTAGTCGGCTGTGACGGGTTTGTTTTAATAGTGGAATAGTTTTCTCTCTTTTTCGAGAAAGAGAGACATAGCGAGAGAGAGGGGGGGAAGAGAGAGGAAGAGCGATTTACGATCGGCTGCTCGAAACGTTTCAGAAAAACCTGATGTGGAACACCGTCACGGTGCAGTACAACCCGCTGATCGAGGAGGAGTTCGACGAGCACTTCAAAGTGACTTGCGAATACGGCTACGACTTCTGGAAGACCGTCACCTTCCCGTTCCTCGACGTCGAGTAAGTGTGCAAATCGGTTTACACGCGAATCTCGCGGACCCACGGCTACCCGTCGTATTTATTCACTTTCGCCGATCGTTTCTGGAGAAACTCGCGTGCTCGGAGGAGACGCGTCTATCGATGCTCGTATCCGCGACGTACAGTAATGTCTCTCTAATTGACGCACAGACTGTNTACACGCGAATCTCGCGGACCCACGGCTACCCGTCGTATTTATTCACTTTCGCCGATCGTTTCTGGAGAAACTCGCGTGCTCGGAGGAGACGCGTCTATCGATGCTCGTATCCGCGACGTACAGTAATGTCTCTCTAATTGACGCACAGACTGTCCACAGAAATGGACAATTTGGAGAGAGGAGATACGATTATTCGAGCCTTGCAATATATTANCGCGAGATTTCCTGCAAAGCTTATGGGAAAGCTGAAGAAAATCCTGAACGAATGACGTGGTTAATATAAAATAAATCGTTCTAAATCGTTCTAAGCTATCGCAATGTTAATTCTATTGGTAAAACGTGCGAAGATTACGGAGAAACAAAATAGTGACTGTTTATTTGAATTTTTGTTTTTGCTTACAATTTCAGTAATTTATTTACTGCGAACCGAACCTATTTTTCTCTCGATGCGTTAATTATTGCGCCTGTTACCACAGAATAAGTCCTGCGTAACCTCGAAAAGCTTTGAGAACCGGTGCGAGAAGAGCGCGATCTTCGCTTAAAAATAGATCCGTTGGATTCGCGTATGCTACCGGAAAGGCCGCCGGGAATCATCAATTTCCGTAGATCGCGTGCAATCTTAAGATCGTTTGGAGTATTAGAGGACTAAGGACAAATCGATTCTAATTGCAGGCTACTCGTACGACCCGGACTGCATGTACGTTAACGGGACGGGCCGGGATTACTACGAGTTCTACATTCAGCTGAATCGTTGCGGCACCCTCGGCGAGAACACTCATCATCAGGACAGCAGAAAGAATCCGACAGTACGTAAAACAGAGTACAGTCTCTGGTTCGTTAGCAGCCCAGCGTGAGTGCCGCTGGGTCGTTTGACAAGGAGTAATAATGATTAACGTCCCCCTTGAAAAATCCCCGACTCCCCCAATCATCGTTCGGCTCTTATTTCCCGATCGTCCAACCCGGGGACGTTTAACGATCGGCCGTATTAATACACGCGACTCCTTCGCGTCGGCTCGCGTCATAAAGGAGAGGCCGCACGTTAATAATTCTGTTACGTTCTGCTTATACGATTTATTAAACGCGCGCTCGCGAACGTTCGGCTGATTTATCGCGGCGCGGCGCGCGCCGAGACGTGTTTGTTTGCCGTGAAACGCGATTAGTCGGCTGTGACGGGTTTGTTTTAATAGTGGAATAGTTTTCTCTCTTTTTCGAGAAAGAGAGACATAGCGAGAGAGAGGGGGGGAAGAGAGAGGAAGAGCGATTTACGATCGGCTGCTCGAAACGTTTCAGAAAAACCTGATGTGGAACACCGTCACGGTGCAGTACAACCCGCTGATCGAGGAGGAGTTCGACGAGCACTTCAAAGTGACTTGCGAATACGGCTACGACTTCTGGAAGACCGTCACCTTCCCGTTCCTCGACGTCGAGTAAGTGTGCAAATCGGTTTACACGCGAATCTCGCGGACCCACGGCTACCCGTCGTATTTATTCACTTTCGCCGATCGTTTCTGGAGAAACTCGCGTGCTCGGAGGAGACGCGTCTATCGATGCTCGTATCCGCGACGTACAGTAATGTCTCTCTAATTGACGCACAGACTGTCCACAGAAATGGACAATTTGGAGAGAGGAGATACGATTATTCGAGCCTTGCAATATATTATAATTTTAATATTATATTATATTATAATATATAATTATATATTAAAAATATATTATATATATTATATATATTAAAAAAATATTATAATATTATATATTAAATATTATAATATTATATATTATATATTATATATTATATATTATATATTATATATTATAATATTATATATTATATATTATAATATTATAATATTATATATTATATATTATAATATTATAATTTTTGACAATCGATAACCATAAAAAACGAGCCACAAGGCTCGAATAATCGTATCTCCTCTTCCCAAATTATCCATTTTTGTGAACAATCTGAGCGTCAAGATTATGTCATGTACTGTACTTGCTCGCAATTTCTATCGAATCCGAAAAGATTCATTGCGGAAGAGTCGTTCAATTTTTGCTTCGCGATATAACAGAAATCCTCGGTCGATAAATTCTCGAACAGATTTCCATATGATACTTGAAAGGAGCATCAGGGAACGTCGTATTAATTAACCGTTCGAGTCCCAGGGGTTATTCAGAAAACACGGTCGAAAAATGACGAACAGCGCGACAGCGCTTGTCTTAATTAATTGCGAAGAGAACCAACCGGCGCGACAGCGCTCGTCAAGATTGACAAACAAAACAAAAAGAAAAAGAAAATTAAAAAAAAACAACTATGCGGCGTACGTGTGTCACTGAACAGCGCGATCGCGTTGCTTGGGACTGAAACGGTTAATGAATATCAATATCGCAATACGCGCCGATAAAATAGGAGCACACGTAGGATAGGAGCACAAATAGGAGCATCGCGATATGTATTACGGACGCTTAACTGGCCGAGCAAGCCCGTAAATGGATCTTTAGATAGAGCCCCGACGAGCTTAATTCATCGAGCGCGCGGCTCGTTAGGAAATTAACGAACGGGGGAGCAATTTTGAAATAAACAGCTGGATCGTTTAACTCGAACCAGTTGAAACTGTAACCGCGCGCTTTGCGATCAGCCGCCGCTAATGAACCGAACGCACCCGACGTCCCGAAGAGCGAAGAAAAATCGTAACACTTGCTCGATGAGGTGATAATGATATAATAACTTGCTTTTAGACGAGGATGCGAAAGAAACCGATTCAGTTTCTTGCGGATCGAAGCGGTTCGTTCGACGGGCTATTAGAAGGCTTCCGGCAGTTAACAGGTTCCGCGAACCGAATTAGGTCGCCGGACAATCGTTCGCGGGAACGGATTTCGGTCCACGGAAGTGGCCGTGTCCCAGTCCCGGCGCTGGATAACGGGCAGCCGGTTACTACCATTAGCCTAACGCGAGTATCTTCTTCCAGAGTGGCGACGGGAAATCCCGTAGTGTTCACCCTGCAGCCACCGGAGTGCTACATGGAAATCAGATACGGTTACGGGACCACTGGAACTAGAGTGGCTGGACCAGTTCGTGTCGGCGATCCTCTGACTCTCATTATCTACATGCGCAGCAAATACGGTACGCGCGCATAACTGCACGCATTTTCGCTTCACCCTGACTCTTCCTCACCATCTCTCTCTCGCTCTCTCTCTCTCTCTCTATTGCTCTCTCTCTCGCTCTCTCTCTCTATTGCTCTCTTTCGCTCTCTCTCTCTATTGCTCTCTCTCGCGCTCTCTCTATTACTCTCTCTCTCTCTCGCTCTAGCTCTCTCTGTCTCTCTATTGCTCTCTCTTCCGATCTCTCTCTATTACTCTCTCTCTCTCTCGCTCTATCTCTCTCTCTCGCTCTATCTCTCTCTCTCGCTCTAGCTCTCTCTCTCGCTCTAGCTCTCTCTGTCTCTCTATTGCTCTCTCTTCCGATCTCTCTCGCTCTATCTCTCTCTCTCGCTCTCTCTCTCTCTCTATTGTTCTCTCTCTCTCGCTCTAGCTCTTTCTGTCTCTCTATCGCTCTCTCTCTCTCTCTCTCGCCCTCTCTCTATTGCACTCTCTCTCTCTATTGCTCTCTCTCTCCCCCTCTCTCCCCTGATCCCCGTCCAGTCCCATGCTCGTCAAGTCTACATAAACTTAATCGCGCGACGCCACGTAACATCTGCCGGGTGTTATTCGTCGGAGTAACGGGACGACCGAGCCCCACTTAGCTCAACGTCATTTTCCCTTCGGGAAACTAATATTAGACCGCTCTTTTACCCCGATCGATACGCCGACCGGAGGAGAGCACTTCCGCTTCCGACGACGGTGTCAAAGGCGTCACTCGTCTCCCTTTCAAGAGGTGATCCGATCGAGTCGAAGGACTAGGTCTTCAAGGCCGGACAGCAACAGTCTACCGTCTTCCACGAATAGACTTTCGTGGAAGATGTTGCCTCTCTTGACCCTCGTCGTACATCGCTCGGCTCTTCTCGGACCCAGAGGCCCGGCTTCACCGTTTGACACACGATGCTGTCTTTTTGTGTTAGAGCGACAACGAATTTGTTATATTCTATTGTTTAATTATGTGATTAGTGCAACTCTGCTTAGAAATTAAACGAAAAATAGTATTGCAAGATAATAGTAATAATAGTGATAATAGTAATGATCGTAATGAGAACAAAGTTTTAGCTCAAAAGGTTTGTATACATAAGGTCATCGGTCCGTTTGGACCCAATTACGGGCGTAATTGCGGGGTTAACGCTGGATTTACGGAGCACAAAAAGCAACTGTTTTGTATAAACTTATAAAAGTAACAATAAGATATTTATTCTGATTTTTAACGAGCGTTATTGCAACATTTGCCGCAAGTAACATATAAATTGAATAAATGACCCATAAATGTATCTTTACGATATGAATAATCGTAAATTAAAAAATTAGTGTTCTAATCCGCAAATCTAGTGTTAATGATGTTATTAGCTGATCCAGAGAATCATCCAGGTCCGGAGAATCTAGAGAAGTCGTCTTCGATGCTCGTAGGCTCGTGGAGCTATTACGAACAAACGTCGTCATTCGTGGAAAATGGTTGTCCTTCAAAATCCGGGCTCGTTCAATGGTGTCCCCGCTTGAATAGCTTGATTAAAAGGGACATTTAGCCTCTTCCAGGGAAGTAATTCTCAAAGTTAATTGCTCCGCGACGCTCCACCCGATTAAAAGAACCGGTCAATCCCATCCAGGGAAGTCATCGCCAAAGCTTACTGCCCATGCGAGGCTTTACCCGATTAGTCGATTAAGAGAACCATTTAAGTGCGTCTAGGGGAGCGATCTACCAGGTTTATTGCCTCGCGGTGTACTTACGAGTACGATCATTTCCCTGGCAATTTCTCTGTTCCATTGCCTCCTTCTTTCTGCACCCTTGTCTCGGCTCGAGTGTCCCAACGCGGCGGAGTACAGTAATGTCTCCCTTACTGACGCTCAGATTGTGCACAAAAATGGACGATTTGGGAAGAGGAGATACGATAATTTGAGCTCTGCAGCTCGATCTTTATAGTTGTTGACAATTCGTAACTATAAAAACGAATCGCAAGGCTCGAATAATAAATATCTCCTTTCCCCAAATTGTCCATTTTTGTGGACAATCTGAGCGACAATTAGAGACATTACTGTACTTCCTATTACTGACTTTGTCACTATTTTTCGTGGTCGAAATCAGAGTTTCTTGTTACGTCTATTTCCACTTCGTGAGTATTTTCTCTTCAAGTCCAGAATTAAAATCCAAGTTTATCCGCTGCTAACTTCCGTTGCAAGTACAATAATGTCTCCCTTACTGACGCTTAGATTATCCACAAAAATGGACGATTTGGGAAGAGGAGGTACGATAATTTGAGCTCTGCAGCTCGTTTTTTTATAGTTGTTGACAATTCGTAACTATAAAAACAAATCGCACAGCTCGAATAATCGTATCACTTTTCCACAAATTGTCCATTTTTGTAGACAATCCGAACGACAATTAGAGAGACATTACTGTAAAACGAAAACATTTCCTTCGCCAGACGGTTTCGACATCGTCGTTAACGACTGCTACGCTCACAACGGCGGCAACAAACGGATCCAGCTGATCGATCAATACGGTTGCCCGGTGGACGACAAATTGATCAGCCGATTCCGCGGATCCTGGTCGGAGAGCGGCCTCTTCGAGACCCAAGTGTTCGCCTACATGAAGACATTCAGGTTCACCGGCTCGCCGGCCTTGTACATCGAGTGCGACGTCCGGATGTGCCACGGGAGATGTCCGGTAAGCACCTGCGACAACAGAATACAGTAATGTCTCCCTTACTGACGCTCAGATTGTCCACTAAAATGGATAATTTGGGAAGAGGAGATACGAGTATTCGAGTCTTGCGGCTCGTTTTTACAATCGTGGACAATTTATAACTATAAAAATGAACCTCGAATAATCGTAACTCCTCTTCCCAAATTGTCCATTAGAGGGCGTCAATTAGAGAGACATTGTTGTATGCGAGTTATGTATGCGGTTGAGTCGCGCGGTTATTCATACTTTGATCACCTGTCGCGGTCCTCGAACCGTTCAGAGCCAGCCCTGCCACTGGAGGAACGCCAAGAACGTGGCCAAACGGTCTCTGCCAGATATCGGCGGCCCCTCGACACCTGCCACCAGCCTGTCGGAGAACGTCAACCTTTTCCAGTCGTTGCGCGTTCTTCAGGAGGGCGAAGCCGACACCGAGTTCTTCCAGAATTCCACCACGGCTTATCGAAGCGGTAATCTTATTCTTTCCTCCGATTTCGTAGAAATAAGTAAGATTTATTTTAATTCGCGTTCTCCCCCCCCCCCCCGCCCTCGAATTCCCTTGGGACCTCATTGTTTCCCGGGGGCGAATACAATTGCTATAAATGCAACAAGCTCCGTAAGACCGTAAAGTATAAAAACATTTGCATTTTTTTAACAGTAAGGTTGAAACAAAAAATATGTGAACACTGATAATATATTGTAGATATAATAATTTGGCGCAGTAAAGACAGATAAAAGAATAAAGAACTTTGGCTAAAATAATTAAAAATAAAAATAATACTGACAGTGGCGCGCGAGTTACAATAAAATAGTACAGATTAGGCTAAGATAGGATTAAAATGTGCATTGCAATGGAATAAAAGTAGAGTAAAAAGAAGTAAAGTGTAAAAGTAAGAGTAAAAGTAAAAGCAAAAATAAAAATGATATATATATTTATATATATATATATAATTATTATATATAATTTTATAATTATATATAATATAATATTATATATTTATTTATATTATTTTTATATTAATAATTATCGAAGCGATAACTTTACCCTTTTGTTCAATTTTAAATCCCTTCATCCCTTATAGCACATTGAAACTGCGAAACTGTGACAAAATGCAAAAAGATAAAAATACGAAATCACCCTAAATGTTCCGAAGCGGTGAAAATTGTGCGAAACAGTTCGTGGGATGAATTAGGGTTGAAAAGTGATTTTCATTTTCTTTTCGCAGGACCCAGCGAAGCGACGGGCGACAGAGTGTGCCTAAGATCGACGGTTCTTAGCACGATGATAGGGATCACCTGCGGTTTCCTCTGCATAATGGCGGGAACGATATTGGCCATGTGCTCGCGGATGCGACGACAGGCCAGGGAGAAGCTGCTGTCCGACAGCATAAGCTACATGACCCACAAGGGTAGAATCAACTAAGCTCGGCCTCTGCGACTGTACTTGCGAACCTTTCCTACTTCCCTCTTCTTGACCGCTTCGTGGTACACGCGTACCAGCTGAGCGATCGGAGAAAGTCCCTGTCGATAATGCGAGGACAATCTCACTCGGTAACGTTGGCTGCGGTCGACGAGGCGGCGCCGACGGCGGTATCGACAGTAGCGAATAAAGGAGGACTTAATTGAAGTAATTTCTCAAATTAACGGATCCTCGTCGATGGATCCTTTCCAGGCGGATTAGTTGAACGCTCGGAAAAAAACGAAGAGTATTGTCAACCATTGTGATGCGATTAGATTAATGCGTTTTGTTTTAGAGGGAAAAATAGAACCCGTTCACACACACTGTCGGTAAAGAAGACAGGGAAATCGTTGCCGATTGAACTCGCTCATTCTGTTATCGACTACGCTTTCTCCCCAATGTTCTGTTCTCTTCTTCTCCGATCGGAGGAGAAACCTTCTCGTTTATCGCGTGTACAAGCGAGTTGCCGTCCGTCGATACGATTCAAGGCGAATTTAGAAGTCGAGGATTTTGCCACGACCTGTTTATCGAGCGCGCGAACGAGAAATATTTTTTTAGAACTTCTACGACGAAACGTGACGAGAAAGGTTTTGCAGATCGTTGGACTGCGGATCCGGAAGAATTTCTTTTACATGAAATTTAAGATTAAGAGATTAATTTAAGATTTAAGATTTCTTAACGTAAAGACACTATAGGCTTTTCATCGATGTACGCATATAGTACATTCTCGTGTTTGAAAAGTTTACGTACGTAAATCCGTGGTTCGACGATCATGGTTCAGAAGATTTCTCTCCGCTCGCGCGGTCGACCTTACAGGAGATTAAAATAAATACCTAGATAACAGGCACCTAATGCCGTTGATGAGATTCAGTAGTTTAAGTATGTCCAATCACATTACTCGCCATATTCAGGAACGCTAAAATTTTTGGAGCCTCGAGTTGCAGCTTAACTAACCGGATATGTTAATAATTGCGTTGTTAATAATAACAATTTCCGCGTGGAGATTCTTACATACAAAAATATTCTTTTGATTGCGATGCCAAGAAAAATTAATTGCTATTGAAGAAATTCACTGAAAAAACTGAAATTGTTAATCTTTTACCTTCGAAAGACTGTTCAGTCGTCGCAGGTAGAGAAAATCTCTCGAGAAATTAGACAATTATAGTGTATTTTTGAAACCTATGAAACGATCGCCAGCGATCGATATAAACGTCGTATTTATTGACCATAAATGTACTAAATCGAGGAAGAATGTGGCCAACGATTGTACGAGCATCGTTAACGCTTTCTCGAGTTAGCAGCGAACAACATTTAACCCTTTGCGGACGAAGTCGCTCGACGGGCGAGCGTCGCTGTGGGCGACAGGTATTGCATATAAAATAAAAATGTTAAATTAAAATGTTATATAAAATATGTGAGAAGCTTTGCTGGTTTCTCCGGTAGCGACACTGAAAGACTGAATCGACAAAACAGAAATTCGTTCTGAAGCTACGGTTAAATTAATAAATTTATATTAACCCTTAGGGGACCAAAACTATTTCCAGTTTACACACTGCCAAGCCCAGACTGTTTTTCAGACGAAGAGAAATTTTTTACTGAAAATTTTTGTATCAAATATAGAGAAGAGACATTCCTTTTTTAAAATAAAACTTCGTCGATATATTTTCATCGAAACAATCGTGCCTATTCTTCCAACGTTTCCTGCCAGATTTTACGGTTTTATCGATTTCTGCCGCGTGTATGGCGGCGTTGGACCGTCAAGGGTTAATAATTAACAAATTAATAAAAAAGAAAAACCGGTAAAAAGACTTGGGCGGCTATTTGCCGGCACTCGTCCGCGAAGGGTTAATTGCGAACGGAGGACGGGCTGCGTCGTCGAGGCGAAATGGAAACTCGTGCTCGAGGTTTCTGAATGTTCGCGAATAATGCACTAACGTATGATTTATACATTACGCTATATAACAAACAGCCACAATATCTAGGTTTATACTATCATATGCATACGGTATACATATAGAGCGACCAGTTGTGTCTTGATTTCCTTCAATATTTTGTACCCCCTTCATCTTCGTACGTATGCTTCCCGAGAAGCGAGAAAAAAGCGAGAGAAAGAGATAGAGTGAAAGATAGATGAGAGAGAGAAAGAGAGAGAAAGAGAGAGAACCGATCGAATCGCCAGGTTCTCGCGGGAACGGCCAGCGAGGATTAAATAATATTTTGCGAGACCGCCCCGCGCGTTAATCGGGGGAGCCAAAGAAACGTAGCCCAGCTCTCGTCTTAATTAATATTTATTCCACAATCTTGCCGATCTCTTCTCCCGCGCGACACTTGATCGTCACCCGGCGAAATATTAATTTCCCCTCCTGGTCGTTCCGGGGCCCCGTTTCATCGTTCTCGGAAAAGATCGAACAGAGACCAGAACAACGCGCGGAATTGTCATTCGTAAAAAAAAAAGAAAAAAAACCCACCCCGATACCAATCAGCCAGATCCACCTGCTCGATCGAATTACTTGTAAATATAGTACTGTACGACGCATAATATTTATAATTAAGCTCTCGTGTGTATCAAGGTTTCCAATAAACTGTAGAAGGAGTAACCCGACGCGTCAATTTGCCCGCGATCGATCGATCGTTTGGGACGCTTAGCATCGGCGTGGCCGCGATGTAAATATTCATGAGAGCCGCGAAAGGTGCGCCGTCACGGCCGGGAGCGAAAGATCGGCGTGACGAAAGGGAGCACCTACCTGGGCCGATTTTGAAAAATTCGTGGCCTCCTGGACCACAATGGCTGCGGCGCGGAACGAATCGTGTTTCCCAAACACCGTATATATCTCAACGATCCCCGAGCAATCGGTCTTTCGGACGTTTCTCAAAGATCGCCCGGGCCCGACGGGGGAAAGTGAAAATCCACGCGAAACGAGCTCGAAACCGGCCGCCATTTGTCGGCCGATCCTTCTCCTCGATAACGAAAGAAAAATACGGTAGTCCGAAGTAGGTAGGTAGAGTCGCATTATCGATGCCCTGCGCCATTGTCGGACAGGGAAAACGTTTCTACGGGGATCCGGCTGACGAAATGCATTTCCTCGTCCTCGATTTTTCTTTGTCGTCGCTGTGACTGATGCACCGATCGGTATACCACTTTGCTATGCGTTCAAAAAATCTGTTGGAACGCATTGCAGTTGCAAGAGCATCTGTCTCTCGAGTCGAGATATTAATTGGACAGGCTATGTTGGTTCTCTAGTGTTTTTTTTAATGAAATTGTTGGGACGATGCATATGCTCCGCTTGGAAATCGTTACATACGACAGTCTTCAGAAATTACATTCTTATATACAGAAATCTTAAATTGTTAATCTTTAATTTTTTAAATACTGTTCAGTCGTCGTAGGTTGCTAATCTCTCGAGAAATAGTACTTAAACGTGGAATTTAAAGAAATCCAAGTTCAAAGAAATTTATTTGAGATCTGTTTGGAAGGGTTTGGGATTGGAAGGGTTAAGAATCTATCAACACTATAACAACCGTGCCCTAAACGTAAATAATGTATACTGTTTCACAACAATGCCAAGATTGGATTTATTTAAACATTGAAAAAAGATTTTTATAGCATCAGGAATTGTAAAAGGAAAAATCGGAGACCAGTCATTTCGACTGGTTTGGTAGTTCTAGTGTTAAGAATCGTGCAAATAGTCTTCAGTGATCCGTAATTAATTTTCTATACGATACGTAAAGATCGTTTCAATCAAAATCGAGAGAATATTTCGATAGCTGAAAGAGTAATCCAGAAAACAATATTTTACTTAATCCTGAAACGGTCACGTGGGGTGTTTGCGACTCTAGCCATTTATTTACTAATTGACGTTTCTTTATCTTTTAGCATAATGTTAAAAAATCGGGAGGAAATTTCGATAGCTGAAAGAGTAATCCAGAAAACAATATTATACTTAATCCTGAAACGGTCACGTGGGGTGTTTGCGACTCCAGCCATTTATTTCCTAATTGACGTTTCTTTATTTTTTAGCATAATGTTAAAAAATCGAGAGGAAATTTCGATAGCTGAAAGAATAATCCAGAAAACAATATTATACTTAATCCTGAAACGGTCACGTGGGGTGTTTGCGACTCTAGCCATTTATTTCCTAATTGACGTTTCTTCATTTTTTAGCATAATGTTAAAAAATCGAGAGGATATTTCGATAGCTGAAAGAGTAATCCAGAAAACAATATTTTATTTAATCTTGAAATTATACTTAATCTTGAAACGGCCACGTGGTGTGTTTGCGACCTTAGCCATTTATTGTATAATTAATGTTTCTTTATTTTTTAGCATAATGTTAAAAAATCGAGAGGATATTTCGATAGCTGAAAGAATAATCCAGAAAACAATATTTTACTTAATC